CCTCTGCTCCTCTTTGCTTCCTCCTCCGCATCATCATCACCATCACCATCACTCCCCACTCATCATCATCATCACCATCAGCATCACCATCACCACCGCACGATCATTCACCATCATCGGCATCGAACGATCATCATCATCATCATCATCATCATCATCATCATCACTACTCGCTGACTCACCACTTCGTCCCCATCATCATCACCACCATTTACAATCAGAATCGCACGATCACTCACCATCAGCACTCATCATCACCACCATCATCATCGCGTCGTCATCATCACCACCAGCACCATCATCATCATCATCATCATCATCATCATCATCATCATCATCATCATCATCAGCATCATCATCATCAATCATATATCATCATCAAACACCGTCGTCATCATCCCATCACCATCATCCACCAAGAGGGAGCCTCGTCTGTGAGTGAATTGTGAGGAAGTCTCAGGCGGGAGCCCCCTCCCTATGGGGCCCGCAGATCATGTTACTAATCCGAGCGGGCCATCGGATTCCTGTAACTGTCGTCACTTTTGGGCTCCTCGGGTCTGAATTTGGAGGAAGTATCAAGCGGGAGCCTCGTCTGTGAGTGAATTGCGAGGACGCGTCAGGCGGGAGCCCCCTCCCTATGGGGCCCGCAGATCATGTTACTAATCCGAGCGGGTTATCGGATTCCTGTAACTGTCGTCACTTTTGGGCTCCTCAGGTCTGAATTTGGAGGAAGTATCAGGCGGGAGCGTCGTTTGTCAGTGAATTGAGAGCAGGTCTCAGGCGGGAGCCCCCTCCCTATGGGACCCGCAGATCATGTTATTAATCCGAGCGGGTCATCGGTTTCCTATAACTGTCGTCACGTTTGGGATCCTCAGGTCTGAATTTGGAAAAAGTATCAAGCGAGAACCTCGTCTGTGAGTGAATTGTGAGGACGCGTCAGGCGGGAGCCCCCTCCCTATGGGGCCCGCAGATCATGTTACTAATCCGAGCGGGTTATCGGATTCCTGTAACTGTCGTCACTTTTGGGCTCCTCAGGTCTGAATTCGGAGGAAGTATCAGGCGGGAGCCTCGTCTGTGAGTGAATTGTGAAGAAATCTCAGGCGGGAGCCCCCTCCCTATGGGGCCCGCGGATCATGTGACTAATCCGAGCGGGCCATCGGATTCCTGTAACTGTCGTCACTTTTGGTATCCTCAGGTCTGAATTTGGAGGAAATATCAAGCGGGAACCTCGTCTGTGAGTGAATTGTGAGGAAGTCTCAAGCGGGAGCCCCCTCCCTATGGGGCCCGCAGATCATGTGACTAATCCGAGCGGGTCATCGGATTCCTGTAACTGTCGTCACTTTTGGGCTCCTCAGGTCTGAATTTGGAGGAAGTATCAGGCGGGAGCCTCGTTTGTCAGTGAATTGCGAGCAAGTCTCAGGCGGGAGCCCCCTCCCTATGGGGCCCGCAGATCATGTTACTAATCCGAGCTGTCGTCACTTTTGGGCTCCTCAGGTCTGAATTTGGAAGAAGTATCAAGCGGGACCCTCGTCTGTGAGTGAATTGTGAGGACGCGTCAGGCGGGAGCCTTCCTATGGGTCCCGCAGCTCACGTGGTTCCTCCGGGTCATCCTCCGGCGCGCGCTTCCTCTGGGTCGTCCTCTGGCGCGTATCGGCTGGGACGCACGTCGTCCGCTTCCTCTGGGTCGTGTTCCGCACGAGGACGAGGAGGAGGAGGATTGCCAGGAAAAGGAGGAGGGATGATGCAGGACGAGACAGGAAAGCAGGAAGAGGAAGAGGCTGAGGGGAGGAAGGACGAGGAGGAAAAGGAGGAGGAGGAATGCCCGAGGAGGCCCCAGTAGGTCCCGGAAGGCCCAGAAGGCTCCAGGAGGCCCCAAGAGGCCCCAGGAGGCCCCAGGAGGGGGCAGGAGGCCTAAGGAGGAGGCAGGAGGAGGAGGAGGAGGAGGAGGAGGAGAGGAGGAGGAGGAGGAGGAGGAGGAGGAGGAGGAGGAGGAGGAGGAGGGGGAGGAGGAGGAGGAGGAGGATATGGAAACGAGGAGGAGGAGGAGGAGGAGGAGGAGGAAGCGGATGAGGGAGAGGGAGAGGAGGAGGACAGGGGATGAGGAGGAGGAGGAGGAGGAGGAGAAGGGAGAGGGAGAGCAGGAGGAGGAGGCAGGAGGCAGGAGGGGCAGGGGGAATGGGGGGGAGGAAGCATAACGAGGGGGAGGGGGAGGAGGTGGAGGAGGCAAGAAGAGGAGGAAGAGGCAGGGGTTGAGGCAGGAGGAGGAGCAGACAGGAGGAGAACGAGGAGGCAAGAGTAGGAGGGAGAAGGGAAGGGGCAGGAGGATACCCCCATGCAAACTAAAGAGATTATCATGTGGGGTCCTTCCGTCGGAGTAATGTCTAGCCCGGGCCGCGAGGCTCGATGCGCCATGTCGCGCCCCCGCGTCTGGCCCAGGCCACCAAAGGGTCCTCCCAGGCCCCGCTTCGGGCTTCCAGGGATGCCCAAGAGTCAGTCCTGCTCGGACCTGTGCTACGGATGTGGAGGGAGAGCAGCAGGGGGAAGGGGGACAGGGCGGCGACAGAGGAGAGGTCGAGGCACACGCTGCAATTGGGGGAGCAGCCGGACGGGAGGAAGGGGGAGGGGGAGGAAAAGCTCGAGCAGGAGCAGGAGCGGGTGCATGTGCAAGAGCACTCCTCCTGCTCCTAATCCTCCTCCTCATCCTCCTCATATGCCTCCTCATCCTCATCCTCCTGCATCTCTCCTTGCTGGTGCACCTCTTCCTCATCCTCATCCTCATCATCCTCGTCCTCCTCTTCCTCCTTCTTCTCCTCCTCCTCCTCCTCCTCCTCCTCCTCCTCCTCCTCTGCTCCTCCTCCTCCTGCACATGGTACAAAAGCCTGCCATGTGAGGACGACCTCCCCCTGAGCGCAGAGAAAACAAGAAAATCATTGAAACGGCAACTGAAAGCGCAAATGGACGGGCATCTGAAGGGGCAGTGCAACTGGAAGTGAAACTGCGACTCGATCAACAAAAGGGCAACCGAAAGAGAGTTGCTGTGCGTTCGCTGATCCTCTGCAAAAGCTTGCGGAATGCGTAAACATGGCGTGACTCATGGTCCGCGTGCCTGGCGTTCTGGAAACACGCTGGCCAGTGCAACACCGATCCGAATGTGTACGTGCACGCAAGCACGTTTGCCGATGACGCACTGCTTAGCAGCACTCGGGGGTTCGACAGGCCTGTCCGGGCTTTGCATGCCACGAGAGCGGTTGGCCCCGATGCCCATCATATCTTTGCTCTTGTCGTGGAGGTAGAGGTGGATCCCCTTGCAACAGCAGCAGTTGGGAGCGCGGCAGATGATGCCATACACCTCCTGCATGTAACACCGTTCTCGCGATCTATCACACACGTTCTCTCTCTCTCTCTATCGTTCTCTCTCCGCTCTACAGATAAGTCGTTGTCTCGCTCTCCCTGGCTCTCTTTCTCTCACTCTCTCTATATTATTATTAGTAGTATTAGTATTATTATTAATATTATTATTATAATTATTATTATTAGTATTATTACGATTAGTATTATTATTATTAGTATTATTATTATATATGTGTGTATGTGTGTATGGCTCTCTCTCTATATATACATATACATATTTATATTTCGCTATCCATCGATATACTTCCCTGTGCATATGAGAATGTATATGTATATATGTGTGTATACATATGTGTATGTGTATATGGTTGTGTGTGCATGGGTAGTTGTGTTGCCACATATGTGTATACGTATACCTAAACAAGTGCATACATATACATGTATATGTACACACATGTAACAGTGTGCTTATGCACGTGTATATGTGTCTCTCTCTCTCTCTCTCTCTCCCTGTCCCTGCCTTCGCGCATTATATGAAGCCCCGGATACGAGATACGAGGGGCACGGGGTCGCCTCCGAGCGCCGCGGGACGCCTCGGCCGAGGCGGCCACGGGCGCCCACGAGGCAGCCACGGGCGCCAACCAGGCGAAAGCCTGGCAGACCCGGGCCACCTCCTCCTCCTCCTCCTCCTCCTCCTCCTCCTCCTCCTCCTCCAACTATATCCGCCAGCGTGCCTTCAGTACGAAGTGAAGTGTCCCGCGGCGCATGCAGGCGCATGGGTTTGGCAGATGGCCAGATTCTCAAAAGCCTGGACCACGATGTCCCCGAAGTTCCCAGGCGATCCTGTGTGCTCTTGGGCGCTCTTGGGGCGTCGCGTCGGCCTCGGGAACGGTGACCAGAACGACTCGACGAATCTGCAAGAGTCACCCGAGAAACGCCCAAGACTGTCCTACAGCGCACCAAGACGGCCCATGAGCCCGTAAACAGCCCGCGATGGACCCAAGACGGCCCAAAAGGCCCCCAATACGGCCCGAGAAAGCCCGAAGAGCTCGTCCAAGATTAGCACCAGCGTAGTCATCATCATCATCATCATCATCATCATCATCATCATCATCATCATCATCATCATCATCATAAGCAGCATCATAATGAGCATCAGCGCCAGCCTCGTCATCATCAACACAATCATAGTTATCATCATCAGCATCATCATTATCAGGAGCATCATGATCACAATCCGCCTCGTCGTTGTCATCAACATCATCAGCAGCAACAGCCGCAGCATCATCAGCATCATCAGCATCATCATCGGCAGCATCATCAATATCATCAGCATCATAATCATCAGCATCATCAGCAGCATCATCATCAGCAGCATCATCATCATCATCAGCACCATCATCGTTCGGGTTGGCGGCAGCGACGAACACGACGGTAAAGCGACGACGACGACGACGACGACGGCGACGGCGACGGCGACGACAACGGCGACAGAGACGGGGACGGTGCAAGCGAGGTCGACGACGACAGACACGACCAACGCGCGGCAGCCGCGGGCCGGCGCGCATCGGCCGGGCGGGCGGGCGGCGGGGCGGGGCCGAGAGGGCCCCGTCCAGCATGTAGATGCCACGCACTGAGGGGAACGGCTCCTCGCTGGCCCACGATGCCGCCGCCGCTCTCGTCGCTGCCGTTGCCCTCATCGCCGCCGTCGTCGTCGGGAGGACGAGAACGGGGCAGAAGGAGGTGAGGAGGTGGTGACGAGGAAGAGGAGCGCGGAGAGGCGAGGGGCAGGGAGCAGAGGCGAGGGAGGAGAGAGCTAGGAGGGAGCAGCAGGAGGAGGGGAAAGGGGGGCACATCCCTCCCAGGTCTTTGTTTTCCTCTCCCCATCCAGCCTATCGCTCCTCCTCCTCCTCCTCCTCCTCCTCCTCCTCCTCCTCCTCCTCCTCATTTCTGACATATCGCTCACCCGCTCACTCCCTTACCACCCCTCCCTTCGACACGTAACCCCTCCCTGTCGCACCACTAGACGTGTCATTCGGGTGGGCCGAGCGTTTCACCTCAGACTTCCTCGCCAGTTACAATATGGGAGGCTCAGAATTGTCATTCCAGATGTTACACAAATTGAGTGCGGGTCGTCTTCAATGGGATTCTCGCATAGGCGCCGCGCACACTCGTCTTTGGATTCCGCCGAGGGCGCCCACGAGGCGCCCACGAGGCGCCGGGGGCCTCGTGATGGGTGTATCACAGAAACTCGCATTACTTTACCATTTGCGACAGCGCCCGTGACGAGCCCCTCCCCCCTTCCCCCCCTGGTCTCGTCACGATTCGCGTCGGGGCCGTGCAAGCAGTAGCTATTTCCAAGCATTCCATGACGGCACTGGCGAGAATCGCGACCGTACCGGCAAGCCAACGTACTGATATCTGAATTGCCACTAGCAATAGTAGCCAGCAAATATTTGAAGTGCCACCATCAGGCACCAAACGATGGCAACCAACGTATTCGCATATCGCTTGTCGTTGACAAAGGGTAGGAGTGCTGACCGTGGAAACGCCTTGGGGGACGAGGGCCGCAATGTCTGGGCCATTCAGAAGCGACTCCATGACGATGTTGGTTCACAGTTCGGATGATCATCATCATCAGCAGCATCAGCCTCAGCAACAGCATCGCCAGCATCAACCACATCATCATGATCAGCATTGTACTCATCAGCATCATCATCAGCATCATCGTCATCATTATCGTCATCGTCATCCTCCTCATCATCATCGTCGACAACAACACCAGCCGCATCATCATCATAATCATAAGTATCGACATCATCAGCAGCATCATCATTGTCAGCATCATCGATATCGTCGTCATCACCATCATCCTGATCATCAACAACGTCAGAATGGCAGTCGTCGTCGTCAGCGTCATCGTCATCATCATCATAATCATCATCATCAGCACCATCATGCGAGCGCCATCATCATCGTCATCATCGTCATCATAATCAGCATCATCATGCGAGCGCCATCAGCATCGTCGTCATCATAATCATGAGCAGTTTCGTCATCATCAGCACCAGCATGATCATGAGCATGCTCAGCATTAACATCATCAGCATAATCATCCATCATCCGCATCATCATCGCCATCATCAGCATCATCATCAGTACCATCACCATGAGCATCATACGCATGAACAACAGCATCATTGTCATCAACATCATTGTCACCATCATCACCATAGTCGTCAGCAGCAGCAGCACCCCCATCATCATCACCATCCTAACCATCATCACCATCAGCATCCGCATCAGTTACATCACCATCCCCATCCCCATCTCCAGCATCAGCATCAGCATCAACATCATCATCATCATCACCATCATCATCATCATCAGCAACCTCATCATTATCATCGTCATCATCATCATCATCATCATCATCAGCATCATCATCATCAGCAGCAGCATCATCATCATCAGCATCAGCATCATCATCAGCATCCGCATCAGTTACATCACCATCCCCATCCCCATCTCCAGCATCAGCATCAGCATCAACATCATCATCATCATCATCACCATCATCATCATCGTCATCATCAAGTATAATTCATCGATTCCGTCATCGTTGCCGTCGTCCTAAGTCATCACCCGTGTCGTCCCAAACATCCCCCTCTACCCTTCTCTCAACCACTTATCCGTCACCGTGCCGCTGGGCACAGAGTGGGCGTGTCCTCACGTACTTCGCCTCATCCCTCGCACTCTTGAGCAATTTGTTGAGGGCCTGGACCCCAGATTGCCCATTCTCTTGGGGCGTCCCGCGTGTCCCCTGGGGCTTCTCGCGACTTCTTGCATGACGTGTTCGGAGCGAAGACAGCCCCATGACGGGCCAAGAGGGCCCCAAGAGGTCCCAAAGACGGTGCAAGAGGGCCCCGCCCCAAGAGGCGTCCAAGAGGCCTCCCAAGAGGGCCACAAGAGGCAAAAAGCATTGAATTCCTGTCAGTTTGTGAAGGTTTCTCGCGTTCTCGCTAGAGGCCCTCAAGACCACCCCAAGAGGCTCAAGAGGCCTCCAGGAGAGCCCCAAGACGGCACAAGATCGCCCCAAGACGGCCCAAGTGGCGCCGAACACAGCCCAAGATGGCCCCAATACGGTCGCAAACGAGGGCCCAAGAGAGGAAGCACGAACCGAAAATCCGAGCCTTCCGCACCAAGAGGCCCCCAGGAGGCCCCAAGAGGCGCCCAAGAGGCCCAAAGCCCCCTAAGAGGCCCTCAAGAAGCCGCAAGAGGTTCTCAAAAGGCCCTACGAGGCTCTAAGAGGCCCCGAAACGGCCCCCACGAGGCCTCAAAACTGTCTCCAAGAGGCCCCCGAGAGGCCTCCGACGAGATCCCAACGAATATCCAATAGGCTTCATAACCACAGCCCAGGCACGGTGGCGGGATGGGCCGAATTCCATTCGATCCGCCGCCCCCTGTGGTCTTGCCACAGGGGTGCACGGCGTGCTGGATGTTTCAGGTTTTGGTTTTGGTTCTTTTTCTAAAAGAACTCCCCAGTGGGCTTCGGCCCGTCCCGCCGGCCACCCGTAATTTTCCCAAAATCCGTCTGTCAATGCCTTTGTTGCCCCAACTTGGCCCAAGATGGCCTCCAAGACGGCCAAGATGGCCCAAGATGGCCTCCAAGATGCCTCCCAGACGGCCAAGATGGCCTCCAAGACGGGTAAGATGGCTCCAAGATGCCTCCAAGACGGCCCAAGATGCCCTCCAAGACGGCCAAGATGGCCCCAAGATGCCTCCAAGATGGCCCAAGAGGCCTCCAAGACGTTCTCCAGGAGAGCCCGAAGAGGCCAAAATCATTGGTTTTCCTTAGGTTTTTGAAGTTTTTTGCGTTTTCTTCTTTTCGGCCTTCCGACGGCCCAAGAGGCCCCCAAGATCGCCCAAGAGGCCTCCAAGAAGGCCCTATGACGGCCCAAGGGCCCCCCAAGACGGCCCCAAGAGCGCCCCAAGACGGCCCAAGAGGCCTCCAAGACGCCCAACATGGCCTCCAAGACGGCCCTGAAGCGCCCCAAGAGGGCCCCAAGACGGCCCAGAGAGGCCCCCAAGACGGCTCCAGACGGCGTCAGACGGACCAGGAACGCCCTAAGACGGCCAAAGAGACCCCCAGGAAGCCCCCAAAGGCCCCCAAGAGGCCCAAGGAGGCCCCCAAGATGCCTCCAAGAGGCCTCGAAGAGGCCCCCAAGAAGCCCCCAACAGACCCCAAGGGTGCCCCAAGAGACTCCTAACAACCCTCATCCTCCTACTCTATTTCTTCCTCTTCCTCTTCCTGTTCATAATCATTCTCTCCCATGTGTTCCCCGAAAGCTTTCCAAACCGACTCGGGGAACTCATGGTCCGATAGCTTGGCCAAGCTCTAGTCCAACTTTCGGCCACATCGGCGTTTCCAAAAAGGCAGGGGGCGGCGGTGATTCGCCGTAGGCGTCTTCGATAACTAATTAGCTCCCCCCTGTCGCACCCCGAGGCGTGTGCGTAGAGCGGACCGGGCGTTTCGCCTCAAACTTGCTCACGACGTATCATCCTGAAGTTTGTTCTTGCAATAGCTTCAAGGATGGAGGGCAGGTGGCTTTCAGCACGTGGCTCTCGCCTCAGCGCCGCGCACATCATTGGTAAAAGCTTGCAGCAGTTTGGGGGATGAAGGGGGGCGGTTTTGAAAATGTGGCTTTTGCCTTAGTGCAGCGCACATTATTCCTCAAAGCTTGCAGCAAGTCACGGATGGCGGGGAGGTCGATGTCAAAGGGTGTTATCACCCTTGCGCCGCGCACACTCGTCTTAAAAATGGCTGGACCATCTCAAGGATGCAGTGCGGCCCCATTTCTAAATGTGCCCCAAAAGATTGCAGCAAATTCGCATATGAAGTGGAGCCATGTTCAGAATGTGGCTCACGCCTGAGCGCCGCGCGTCATCTTCTTGGCAAGGGTTGAAGAGGGGTTGTTTTCAAAATGTTCTTGCCCTGGCGCCGCGCTCAGTGCTGTTTCTGTTGAAAGAAACCTTGTTGCACCCCCCCCCTAACGTAGCAACCTAACCCATTGAAGTTAACGTGGCCAACAGCTCGGTGACACCAGTGTGTCACGCGCGCGGCGTAGCACATGATGCACCAGAATGGGGCGACACAGCAACATGTAATGCAAAAGTGCCAACTGTATCACTGATCCCGCTTCGGCTCCAATGAAGAATCCGGCCGGCGCTGAAGCAAGATGGATGTGGATGTGGCCGGCGCTGTGGCGACGGCAACATTCTCAATCATGGATGTGGCCAGCGCTAAGGCGAGAGCAACTTTCACAATCGTGGATGTGGCCAGCGCTCAAGCGAGAGTAACGTTCGTAATCGTGGGTATAGCTGGCGCTGATTCGACAGCATCATTTGCAATCGTGGATGTGGCCAGCGCTAACGCGAAATGAATTTTCGCAATCGTGGATGCGGCCGGCGCTGAGGCGAAAGCAACATTCGCAATCGTGGACGTTGCCAGCAACCAGGCGACAGCAACAGTCGCAGTCATGGATGTGGCCAGCGTCGAGGCGAGACCAGCGTTCGCAATCATGGATATGGCTGACGCTGAGGCGACAGCAGCCGGCGTAGTCGTGGATGTGGCTGGCGCTGAGGCGAG